GATGAAACACAGGATTGGGTGAAATAACTGGTTTGTGTATGTTTTATATATTTATTTATTTATTGTATTTATTACAGTGGAACTGTGGAGAGGCCTTTATCATGCCAGCAGAAGGCGCTGTTGCCCAACAGTCAGATTCTCTGGTCCCATTTAGCAATCCTTTTACTAGCATGCTCTTTGGTGCTGTAAGTAGATGAGGCGGGAATCACGTGATCCAGTTCGTTTTCTTTCTAAAAGTTGTTTTGGTGCCAGAAAAGTCACCCATGTGGCGCGCATGGGCACTAGATACGTTAAAGGCTGCTATCAAATGAGATCAGCCATTAAGATTATACAATGGTGCATTTTGTGCTGGTTTGGAAATCCTCCAAATATTCATGTCTGTCATCTTTCCCCAGCAAACAGTCATTCAATAATCGTAAACTGTGTCCTCGTGATAAACAGGATGATTCAATTAAAACGACTTTATTTACAAGTTCAAAACAGTTCGAGGAAACATGAAAACTAGAAGCAGGGGTTATGTGTAGGAAGAATTTGAATCTGCAAGAAAGGAAAAGCTTTTATGAAGACATACATGTAAGAAAATTCAAAGCCTCTGATCTGCTGCCCTCACATTTATTATACCTGCCGCACTGTGGCAGCCACCCAAACCTCAACATGGTCTGCTCTCTCCGGTTAGGTCAGAGCAGGGGGAGGAGGAGGAGCAAAAGGCATTGCACTCTGGGATTGGCCCGGAAGAATGAATGACATCAGTCCTATTGTGACAGGTTCACTGGACAGAAAAAAAAATGTATTCGGGCACCAATCAGTGACGCGTAGTGGTTCATTTGTTAACACTTTAGAGGTCAAAAGGCGTCAGATTTCAGGAGATTTAAATATTGAAATTCTCGATTTCAGTAGTTTTGATTCCATCACACCTCAATATTAAAATGATTAAAATGAATATTTAAGATGACCAGGATACTTTGGTGTTTGTTCATGGAAGTTTAAAGCTCGCACATATTTTTCTCCCCAGTTTTCACGGTGGGAATAAAACATGCTATTCTGTCACGGCTCGCTCTTGTACCACTTTCTGTTGTGACTGTTACAAAATCCCTTCCGCTTCCCTGCTTCCTCATTTCCACGACTTTTCCTCAGTGCACATCAGTGCAATCGCTATTATTGAGTAAGTGCAACTTTCAGGGTTATTTATGGGCCTGCGCCCTGTTGTGAATGGCTGTGAGGAAACACGTGATGCCATTAAACTTTGTTTTATGGCCTGGGACTTGACAAGCCAAAATATAATTCTCATTGTGTATTAGTAAGACAGTCCAGATGGAATAGAGCCTCAATTGACATGGAACTCTACCGGACTGGCTTTTCCCCTTCAGCATGGATGCGTTTGTTGGACTGCGTGTCATCTGTTGCGGTTTCCGCGGTAAGCTGCGTTTTATCATTATGCTCGTGGTATGGGCGTGTGATGTCACATGCGTAATGCTCAGGCTAAACTGTTTCCTGCCTGTAAAGCTGCAGTGCATGCTCGGTAACTTTTAGACAGTGTGCTCTTCTGATGAAGTTGTGTTCAAGTTTAGTACTTGTTTGATTTGTTTTGAAAAGCTTTTATGGATCTAACCTTCACTCTTTTTTAAAAAGTGTTATTGGTCTGATTTGCTCCACACCATATTCTTCTTATTCCTCTTTTGGTTCTGCTTCTTTGTTTGGTCTTTTTAAAGCTGTTTGGTGATCTTGTGCAGTTAACTTGAGATTTTAATCAAAGGAATTTTATTTTAAATTGCATTAATTTCCTGCTGTGTCCAACTGTTAAGCTGCACATTTCTTCACCCACAATTCGTTTGCTAGATAACGTCATCTTCTCTTTGGGTTTCAATCACACAGAAATGTTGTTTTTTTTAAACAGCACTGATTTCGCAAGAAAATCAGTTTTAAGTCTTTACATGGTGTGGATTTTCTTTTTTCTTAATTCACCCCAGGCCTGGCGCGTTTCTAACTGCAGGCCTTTAAATTATTAATTTTGTCACCCTTTGTTAGAAATTTAGTCTTGCAATGGTTGCATGTTTGATCCAAGCTTCAAATGGAATTTAGCCTTTATTTTGTATTACTGTCAGACAAAAAAAATCCCTTTATTACGTTGTGTGAAAAATAAGCAGGCCTGGTGTTTTCTGCAGCTTTCAAATCCACAGCTGATGGTTTACAAAATCGAAAACAAATATCTGTGAATGTAATGAAGAAATAGTCGAGCTGGAGACTAGTTGGCCATTGGTTTAACACGAGCTGCCAGGAAACGCTGACTTTATCATTCTTTTGTTGGGGAACTCGGCTTTGACCCGTCACAAGGACCGGCAGGGTCAGGTGAAAGGCAGGTCAGGCTGTCTAATAAATACTGAAACGTGAAGTGCAAGGACGATTTATAACAAATGAGTAAATAAATAAATAATGCACTCATCATTTAATTGAGGCCATAACGAATATTTTGAGTTTTTGTTCGTATTTTAGCGGAAGTTTTCCAGCTCAGATCACAGCATATATATCTACACATGCATACTACACGCAGGCCTACATATTCGTTAAAGGAGCTCCAGCACAAAGCGTCACACTGATTTTACATTTTACTGTTTTATGTTTGATTCTTATTTATTAAAGGCCTCTTTTACAAGGTTGGTGCAAGCCAATAATATTCCCTATTATATTACACTAAACCGTTTACATCACCTGTCAAATAATTAGCCACGAATTTGTTTCTTTATCCGTTTAATTTTTCTTATTAAAGAAGAAAACGTGTTCTGTGTGTGAGGCACAGTTGCTTTTTAAGCCCTTTCAGAGCTGAGATGCAATTATTGTGTCACATTTTGGACAAGAAGGAAACATGTCATAAATTCAAATTACTGTCTCGTTGCTTAAATACTGACTCAAAATTTTTAGAGTTTGCTATATTTTCTCGCCATCAGCGTTATTTTTCTCCATATAGACGCACTGATATGAAATTAGCTCACTCGCATGGTGATTTAGCGTCCTTGAAAAAAAAAAGTGTATTAATTTTGCTAGACCCTCTCAGTTTCTCTCAGTTTTGGCCAATCTGTCTTGATCACGCCCAGCTTTAACTAATTTAATTTGTAGAGGAAGCTCGGTGTAGGGCTTGAGGTGGTCTCCATGGCAGTTAGTTAAGGTCTGACGACTTGGTAAACTTTTGCACCCTTTGAGCTGTCAGCAGCAGTAAAAATAATTGAACTTTTTGATAAGTTTGTAAATGATTTGAGTTGACCTCGATGGCCTCCAGCCCGTAGCATCTTTTGGACAGCGGAGGTAGGAAACCCCTGTATAACCTGGCAAGTGCTCAGGGGTTTATACCGTTGCTCGATTGCTTGACGGAGGCTTAACTTTAAATCTGAGCTGACAGTTTTAAAAAGTTTAAGGTCATTTATGGATTTATGGTGTTTGAAGAAGTGTATTGTCTTGCTGTGAACTTGGGCTGTAGCCTGATGAAGAGAAGAAGATCTTCTGCGTTGAAAGCTGGGCTGATCTCAGTTGGTAGCTGTTTTTTCATTTACTTTACGCTTGTCATTTTCTTACGATTGACAGGAGCACCCAGGGCAGAGGTAGCCTGTAGCCTAATATTTTTCCTTTTCCTTTTCTTTATGTCTTCCTTCTTCTGCTCTTTTGGAAGCCTTGTCAGCCAGCAACTGACAAGGCTTCGAGGGTTTCGTGTGTCCTATTGACGAGATTTCCTTCAAATAAGCAACAAAAAAGACCACGAAAAAAGCCTACTTTATACTGTAGAAAAGGGGAATAAATTAAAAAGGAAATGCCGTGGCTAAAACAAAGAAAATAGGGCACTCGGAGTGATTATAGCTTATAAAAGTATGTGTTTATCCCTGGGTTTTTAATTCTTGCCTCTTATTTTCTTATGTAACCTCAGCTTCTTTGATGGTTTTGGTTTATTCTGATTGTGAGCCACTCTGTTAATTTTATTAGTCTAGAGTGCTGCACAAAGAAAACGTGATGTGGTTTAGGGGGTAAAATTAGGCAGCATCGCTTCCCGTCGTCTATATATACCCTGTAGAACCGAATTTGTGTGATGAAACCAGATTCACAGATTCGATTCTAGGGGAGTATATGGTCGATGAAAAAACTTCGATTTATTGACTTTACTGCCATCGTTATCAGGCATTTGAAGCCTAATGTGCTTCCAGTTGTTACATTAACAGTGTTGGTTTATGAGTGAGAGTAAATCTGACAACACCACATTCCTCATAAGAGGTCGTGCTGTAACTCTGTAGGCTTAAAGGAAATCTAATATGAAATGTTGCACGTGGAAATAAACATTGGAAGGTGTCTCTATTCCTGTTTGGCTCGCTGTGCTTTGCATGAAATACCAAATGAATTTACTAAATGAAACCAAGCCACAGACACTCCAGCTGTAGCTCTTTTTTCTCTCTTGTGGGCAGTTTCTGTCTCTACATTATTGATTCCCAGAGACTGCTGCTGCTGTCCAATAGGCTCCTGAGACAGATTTTTTTTTTCAAAGGGATGGGAGCAGATGAAGTGATGAGATTCGTGTAACTTTTGGATGACCCCTTCTTGACAAAGACAGTGTCCATCAATTGTCCTCACTCATTATTCGCTGTCTTTATGCCAAGGGGCTTTTTGTATCTTTTGTTGGTTTCTCTGTTGAACACCATGCTTTTAAGTTAGACTTTAGAAACCAGGAATCAGCTTTGATGAAACATCACCATGCACAGAAGACAATCCCCATTTTTAATATTCTGTTTTCTTTTTAATACGTTTCGTAAGTTCAATATTGTGCATATTTTTCTATTTATTTATTTTGAAATCCTCATTTTCTGTCTTCCAAACACGTACGCAGATGTTTCAAGATAATATTTGAGTTTTTTCCATCAGGTTCTAATTTCTGTGTATCTTAACTCAGATAAAAATGCATTTAGTTGTATGTTTACCAGTGTTTGGACCCGCATCACCTCTATTGGCCGATCTGGTCACATGGTTCGCTAACTTTATTCAGTTGACACCAAGTAGGAGGGCTTTATGGAGGGAGGAAAAAAGACAACTCGAGAAAAATTAGTATTTTCTACCTTCAGAAATTAATGGCCATGAGTTCGTATATGGTGAACTCTAAGTATGTGGATCCCAAATTTCCTCCCTGCGAGGAATATTCACAGAATAACTATATACCTGAGCAGGGCTCCGACTACTACAGTCCATCGCAGGACACAGACTTTCAGCATCCAGGGATCTACCCACGGTCAAACTACACGGAGCAACCCTTCAGCTGCAACACTGTGCAGGACTCCACAGTGCAACCACGGGGTCATGGGCACGAGAGAGCCAGCCACCCGAGCCATTTTAGCGCACAGACTGAGCAGGGGACTCCGGTCCAAGTGGCCGGACCCCGGACTTGTGGACAGCAGCAAAACACAAAGAGCCAAAATGGGATACAAGCCAAGCAGCCAGCAGTAGTTTACCCCTGGATGAAGAAAGTTCACGTAACTACTGGTAAGATTTCCTCTTCTTCTTCCTCTTCTTCCTCTACTGAGGGCTATAATCCAGAAAGCAGTCAGTATACTATTTATAGGAGTCTTTGAAAGGCCTCGCCAATTACACAAGTCATAAATTTTTATAGCTCAGGAAATAGGCCGCTAGGTGAGCGCCTAAAAGCTCCTCAAACACGCAGACTAGCCGGTGGAAATTGGGATGAAATCTAGAGCAAATCTGGTTAAATTTAGCTAAAATAACCCACTGTTTCCTGATGACAGTTCCGTTTAAATTTCCTTAAAGTATGAACTTTGACAGAGAAACTAATTTTCTTGTCCTGCACATGTTCTACCTGCATGCTGCATCGACCACATTTAGTGACTTTTGTTTGTTTCGTTTTGTTTTTCTTTTGTGTTCTTTCTCCCAGTGAACCCGGATTACACGGGATCTGAACCCAAGCGGTCCAGAACAGCTTACACCCGGCAGCAGGTTCTGGAGCTAGAAAAGGAGTTTCATTTTAACAGGTATCTGACCAGGCGGCGGCGGATTGAGATTGCCCACACTCTTTGTCTCTCCGAAAGGCAGATTAAAATCTGGTTTCAAAACAGACGGATGAAATGGAAGAAAGATCACAAACTACCCAACACCAAGGGGAGATCTGCACCAGTCTCCAACCATCTGCAGAGCATTCAGAAGGATAACCTGACTGATATCACAGCATTATAAGAAAGGAAAGCGGTCCTGTCCTTAGAGATTAACTGTATATAAAAAAGACAAAAGTTACATCTGACTTTTGCATGGACTGATGTCGTTTCTAGCCATTTTGTTTTTAATTTAACAAACATGACCCTCCAGCATTGTTGCCTCGAGTCTGAGTGAGAAAATCAATCGGTCTTTAAAACCGAGAGGTTTGCAAGCTGAGCCTCTTCTGTGTTCAAATTTCCTCAAAGAGACAGAAAAAACGTCGAAATAAACTTTTCCTTCCCTCTTTTTCCGACGTTGCCCCCTCTGAGGAGACATTTATCAAGCAGCCTCGGCCGATTCAGTGGATTTAAACAAAGTGTCTCTGCTCTTCTCACGTGGATTCAGCTGATTTAAACAATGAAATATCTTTGCTTAAAAACAAAACAGTGAGAT